GAACTGCTCGCCCATGCTGTGCAGGCCGACGAACCCCGGGCTAGCGTATCGTGAGCCCATGCTGTGTGGGCCTGTGTGCCGTACACCCCTACTGTGCGGGCCGGCTCGCCCAGGGGCCTGTGCTGCGCGCCCTTGTTAGGCACCCTGCACCTGCCTTTTGTTATCCAGTGGGGGTTCTCTCCCAGTAATACTCCCTTATATATCGACACTCCGAAACACCCTCGGGCCACCTCCAATGCGCTGAACTGCAGGCCGTGACACTTAGACTTGCTAGCTCAAAAGCATTGCTTGAGCCAAATGCTAGCTCCAGTAAGAGTACAGGCCGATTTAAGGATCTTGAACATAGGTAAGGGCATAACCCATGTGGGGGTGACAGAAGACTTAAGTACCCTCGACAATCCAACCTTGGCTTGAATCATGGCTAGGGTAAAAGCCTTGTGAAGAAGCATGATGAAAGTATCGACCATCGATGTGACATGTTTGGACACTAGTCGCGTACCTATCGTACACCAAAGCACGTTATTATCTATACCAGGCATTCTTGAAGGATAAAGACAAGTGTATTAAGACTCATGCCATTGAGAATTCTACTGCTTTAACTAACGCTAAAACTAATAATGCCTCCGTTAAGATGACACCCCCTACTTCTGTAGAAGCAAAAACATCCTTGGAAGTCTCTAATTTTCTCGAGGACCTTGATAGCCGAGACAAGGCATCAGAATGATAGAGGACAACCTATACTTAGGATCTGAGGATTTTAATGTTTCTTTGTTTTACTCTTTTTCTGAATATATTACCCTTGGTTGATTATTCCCACAGAATAATATGGTCATTTAATAAAATTATTATGAAATTGATTCCATATTTATTATTTGAAAATTTCAATCTCATGACTAATTTGTAAATTTTTATGATACTTGACACTTGAAGTTGTCAATACAAATGCAAATGGGAACCATCGAGAAAAAAGAAAACACATGTTTGCTGGATTGTGTAATGACACATGCCATACTTTATGGTAAGCACTTTTTCTTGAGTGTAACATTGCGTAAGGAAAATATCCATACAATATCAGGTCCCATGGAGATTATTGATGGCTTCAGGAATGCCACAGTTGTTCTGCCAAATGGCACCACCTTGCATATCGAGGATATTATTCTGTAAACCTCCAAATTAGATTGAAGTTTGGTTCATTTGAATGGTGGTTGGCTTAATCTCAAAATTGCTATCTTGAATAGCTGACTTACTAATGCTTGAGTGAAGCCCTTGTATTAACGGAACAACATAGTCTCCTAATGATTGATTTGCTTCTATTACTAGCTCTTGGACTTGCTGCTTTTTTTGTTGGTCAGCCATTGTATCAATATGATTAGAATTTTGTAGATTTTTCCTACAAAATCTTCTAAATGTTCTCTCAATCTTTGGATCATAGGAAATAATCTCCAAGTTTTTTCTCATACATTGATCCAAAGCACTTGAAAAATAATAGAAGAAAAACTTGAATTAAGACTAATTTGTTTAGTATTAATATTAGAGAAAAAATAAAGAATGCAATTCCTTGGGCAACAATGCCAAAAACTTGTTATCAATTTAATACATTCAAATGTACATATCGAATAAGTAATATAGAAGTAAGTCAAGTATTGTATCACACAAAGCATTGCTATTAAATTTTCTCCAAGTACTAAAATTATTCCAAATTAATGTTATCCAAGTAAACCAATTACTATAAATTAATTGAAAGCAAAATCTAATTGATAGTACTAAACTAAAAAAAAAGATGACAAAAGTTAGTTAAAATTGTTGATTAAATGCCTAAGATTATGGAATCCTTTAATTGTTAATTTATACTGATCTCTTTCGTTATACTTAAATCACTGGGTTGAATTGTTAGCCTAGAAGCCACAAATATCTACAAGTCTCCGTCGAGGTGCTTGTAGAAATACCTATTCTAATTAATTAGTATATGTCTATGTGAATTAATTAAAGATAAGTTCATTAAGTTCATGTTCTATTGTTGATTACACATGCTACTTAGGTATATGTCTATCCTAATTGCTAATCAATTAACCTAATCTTCTAGATTAAATAAATACATGTTATTCAAATCCTTGGTCTATTATAAATTCCCCTCATCAATTTGCATTTAGAAATCCATATCAATCTATGTTGTTGATCAGACTAAATAGAAGCAATAATCATTTATTTGAATAAACAATTCATACCCAATAATTTTATGCAAACAAGAGATAAAATTCAAATTACATGCTAAGATCAACCATAATCCTAAAAAAAGAAAAACTATTTAGCTCGTAATATCTATAGCAAACAACACTTTCTCAAGAAAATATTCCATAGCTACAGCAAAAAGAATAGAGAGAAAACAAAACTAGAGTGAGAAACAATTCTCTGTCGAGTTTGATCTCCAATCTTCTTGATTTCTTCTCACTTTTCTCTTGTGTAGAACTTTCTCTTTTTTCTAAAAAAAGGCTGTTATTCCTTTCCTAATTTCTATGAAGAAAAGTCCTATTTATAAGCCCTTGACAATCCGTAGAATAAAAAACCTTGTAAATTTAAATTTGAAAACATCATGTTGGCACCGTGGTGCCCTCTTCTTTATGCATTCGAGTGGTAGTACCTTCAAAGAATGCAATATGTTAACTAATTGTTAAAAAACCTAAGAACTTAAACTTGCAATTGGCAATTTATTGGTATTTGAATTATATAGAACCCCCTAATTAATGTTTGTGATCTATTTGTTTCTAAGTATGTACTCATTCTTAACCATGTCACATATATTTTATTAAAATAGTCATTGACCCAATAATGTCAATCTCTTGCCTAATGAATGTAGTGGTGTTCCTGATCTTGTCCTCATATAACACAAGTACTTTCTCTTATAACACAATTTTCTTAATACTAAATCTCATCATTGAAGTCAAACATATTAAGTCTTTTAAGCTCACCAAGTAAGTTGCATTCTTAATCTCGTTAAAAGTCAAGGGTGTTACAAGTAAAGCTTGATTTGAATAAATCAATGAATACAAAGAAAGAATAAAGGCTTAACAAAGGAGTAGCAGAACTTTTTAACTCAAATAAGCAAAGATGAGGAACACTTGATTTGAAGAGTGAGATTGAAGGAATTTTCTCTTGAAAGCTTCACTCTTGCTTAAAATATCTTCTCTAGGTGTTCTTTCTCATCAAAAACGTGTTTCAACCTTCTATTATATGTGAGAGCCTTATCATAGTCGTTTGAAGGCTTGATTTCAAAATTTTGGTTGTTACATCTATCTTCTTCTCACTTGTCTGATATGAAATATCAATACCTATGATGTGAGTCTCGATACATTAATTGCCCATTTCAACTGATGTCTCGATACTTGAATTGTATGTCTCGATACTTGTTCTTCCTTGGTAATTTCCAAACTAAGCATGTCTCGATACTTTTGTGGCCTAACGTCTATACATATCAACTTGCCCTTTGGAAAATCATATTTGGAGATGATGTCTCAATACTAGACAAGCTGGTCTTGATACTTAAACATTTGGCCTCCGAAATCTTAAGCTCTGAGGATAAAGTCTTGATACTTTTTCAGTGTGTCTCGATGCTTGGACATTTCCTCTCTAGAAACAGATATCTGAAAGTGAAGTATCAATACTTTGAAGTTTGAGTCTCAATACATTTGGACTTGTTCTCTAGAACTTGAAGACTAAAAGTGAAGTCTCGATATAATGAAACTTGTGTCTTGATACATTTGGGCATGCTCTTTAGAATTTGATTCTTCTAAGATGTCTTGGTACTTTATGTTCAAATCTCAATATTTTTACACTTGTGCTCTGAAATTTGGGCTATCAATGAATGAAGTCTTGATACCTACCAAAGATCTCTTGAAACACCTTTTTTCTTAGGCTGTTTTTCCAAGGCATGTAAAGCTTAGAGTCTCGATACCCTTATACGAGGTCTTAATACTTTGAGTTAGTTGAAACCTCTTTTAACACAT